TGTACACCTTTTTTTTGTATTTTTTATTGTCATAAAAAATATATGTACCGCTTTACATCTTGCTTTTTTTTCACTGATTTGAAGATCTTTCTATATTAGCATATAGAGATCAACATCACTTTTAAAAAAATGGTTGAATGGCATTCCAAGGTATAGATGTTCCAAACATTATTTATCTAGGCTTCTGTCTATAAACATTTAAATTATTTCTATTTTTGTTATAAATATTGCTGCAATAAATGTTCTTATACATATCTTGGCATATCTGTAGTATATATGTCTAGCAGTAGAGTAGTTGGAGGGCTGATTCACCCTCCAAAATGACTGCACCAATTTATACTCCCACCAAAAGTGTGAGAGTGAATTGTTTTCCTCACTATCAATAATACTGTGTATTATCACACTTTAAAATTTTTGTCAATACCTAATACTTTAGGAGAAAAAGGGTATCTATATTTGTTTTGATTTGCATTTTAAAAGTTATGAGTAAAGTTGAGCGTCCCCCTCACCTGCTTCTTTGTATCCTTTGCCCATTTTTCTATTGAGTTGCTGTCTTTTTCATGCTAATTTGTATAAACTCTTTAGTAACTTAGAAATAAGTCTTTTGTTTGTCACGTGTGTTGCAAATATTTTTCCCACTTATCTTTTTTCCCATTTATCTTTTGACTTCATTTATGGCCTTTTAAGCTATGCAGATTTTAATTTGGGGTATTCAAATTTATCTTTTTTTTTTTTCTGACTTCTGAGTACGCTAGTTTTATAATTTAACAAATACAATTTAAATTGCTGTGTGTGTGTCTGCATGAGTGGTTGTGTTAAGCAAATGAAGCACACAATAGTAAAAGCCCATTAGGGGAACAGCCTAGGCACCAAGCTATTCCCTGCGGATATTTCAGCCTCCCAGGCCATGTGTCTCCTACTGCCTTCAATACTTGTAATAAAGTAACTTAGCAGCAGCAGTCTGGTTTGACAAGCCGGTTGAGGAACTTGTCTGGAAGTTCCTTTTACATGCCAAGAACACTGCTTTTACTGAAAGTTACAAGATTTGATTTATCTTTCTAATGGTCAACTAATTATTTTAGGAGTAATTTTCTTCCTACCAAGCTGTGACATCAGCAGCCTAGGGATTTTAAGTGTGTGTATTATTTATCTTATACATATATATACATACACATCTATATACATGGTTAGTAGAGCCCTGGTGGTGTAGTTAACCAAAAGGTCAGTAGTTTGAATCTACCAGTCGCTCCTTGGAAACCCTATGGGGCAGTTCTGCTGTGTCCTATAGGGTCACTATGAGTTGGAATCGACTCGACGGCAATGTGTTTTTACATGGTTAGCTGCAGTCGAGTTGATTCTAACTCACAGCGACCCCATGTGTGCAGAGTAGAACTGCTCCATAGGGTTTTCAAGGCTGTGACCTTTCAGAAGCAGACTGCCAGGCCTGTCTTCCAAGGCACCTCTGGGTGGGTTCAAACCGCCAAGTTTTCAGCTAGCAGTTGAGTGCTTAACTGTTTGCACCACTCAGGGACTCTCAGTTCTTTTCTTTCTGTCTTTATAACTAGTCTTTACTTGGGATAGTTTGAGGAGAGGCACTGAAGATTATGGGGATAAATCTCCTCTATAACACACCCTGTCCCAAGCAACCCCTGGCGCCACTTGTGTCCCTGTGTCTTGGCAAGGACCACACTGGGGCTGCCTCCCAAGTCATTCTGTCCAGCCCAGAGCACCCTTGAGTCTCCCCAGAAATATCCTTGAATACAGCAGTTAAGAATAGGGCGTGGGAACTGCCTGGAGATTATAAGTCCATTCTCCTCCTTGGCACGAAAGAGCTAGAACAGCCCCTGGGGTATCCAGTCCTGGAGAAGCCCAGGAACCCAAAGAAGGAGAAAAGCCAGCATCTCCCAAGGAGCAACACAAGGGCCAAAGGCTCGAAACCCAAAGGGGCCCCTCTGTCACAGTAAATACAAAACCATTAATAAAAACGCAGGAAAAGATACTGGCCTTAGGGGGTGAAAAAAATTTCACTCTAATAAAAGAATCCTGCTCTAGGTGTTCATTTTTATAGGGGTATGTGTCACCTGATAATCAGCTTCACTATAGTTCAGTGACGCTTCCTTGGCCTGAACTTCACTCTTCCTTCTTTAAAAAAAAAAAAAAAAAGTTTCTGATCTCATTCCCCAACTTTCTCTGGGAATTCCTATAATGAGACCCTTTTACTTTTTCTTCTCCTTAGACCAATTTTATAGCATCCTCAAGATGCTGTAAAACTGGACTAAGGTCTAAATGGTCATTTGTCAATCACATTCAGTGGTCCGTTTAAACGATCTTTTCCTAGTCACATTCAGTGGCCCTGGATCTACAGCATAACTAGCAAAAATGAGACACACACTGTGTACAGCACAAGAAAGTCCCTTCTTACTCCTGACATCAAGGAAGTCTTTACATTAAGCAAGGATGAGGGTCTTGGGTAAGGGAGTTACCTCCTGCACTGACATCTCCTTCTTCTGCGTTTTGGTGAGCCTCTCCCCTCACCCATGGGCGCCCCCTCAGGTCCCTCTGCCTCAATGCCTGGGCCTCATCTGCTCAGGCCTGATGGTGACCAGGTGTTATGGAAAGCCAGCTCAACCCACCCCCACCCTCATCATCTCCATCAACCCTAGATGAGCTGAGTCCCTGAAAGCCCTAGGCTGAGCATTCCTTGGGGTAAGGTCCCCTCTTGTCCAATATCTAAAGACAGGTAGGGACACATGTAGTTTCTGCCTGTCAGTTTTTCCTAATAGGCCTTCAGGAATAGGGGAATCTGCCTTTGTGTGGGGTATTAGTAAGGAAAGCTAAAGGAGCCAGAAGCAATCACCTCTCAGCCTGGTGCACCAAGAGGGCTGACGGAGAAAGGAACCACTTGGAGGAGTAACTCTTTGCACTGGACTTGGCTGTATCTCTAGGCTTGTCTCACTGCCCTAGTCTGGTCTTAGAGTACTGGTTTGGGTACCAGGCCATCTCTCATTAGGATCATTATACCATGAATTGGTCTTGCTCTCTAATTCGCCTGGGACAGTTGACATTGTCCAGGACCAACTTCCTGGAGAATCAAGCACAAGGCAGAGATAGCTGGCCTCAGGACTGTTGTGTGACAAGACAGTGCCAGTTCCTGTGGTGAAGGGTCAGTTGGAATAGGAAAAGAGGTAAATGGACCCTTGGGCTGCTGGAAAGTTTCAGTTGTGGCTCCCAGGTACCAAACAAATCTCTTCCCATTCATGCAAATCTCCATTCTTGGTGAGGGTGGACAACTGGAGAAATATTTGTTAATATAAGGTCATCCCCAAGAATCATCATTCTCAATCATTTTTCAGACCACTTTCTCTAAGAATGTAAACCAGTGGATGTGAGATGGCCCGGAATTCCGCATCCAGCCCGCTGCATGCAGATTTCTCAGGCCGGCCTGGAGGTGGTGCTGTTTGCTTGTGGTCAGTTTGGGCTAATAAATTAAGATATTACCAAGGACGTAAGGAGCCCTGGTGGTGAAATGGTTAAGCGCTTCGCTGCTAACCGAAAAAGTCTGCAGTTTGAACCCACTAGCTGCTCTGCAGGAAAACGATGTTACAGTTTGCTTCAGTAAAGACAGCCTTGGAATCCTTTGGGGCAGTTCTACTCTGTCCTATAGGGTCACTATGAATCAGAATCGACTCGAGGGCAATAGGTTGGTTAGTTACCAAAGGTGTAGCTCTTGGGCAACAGAATTAAAATCCTGAACTTCATCCAACTTTTGCATTGGGATTAATAAGTGAAAAATAGACTACATAAAAAATTTTAAATTTATGTGTGGAAAAAAACCCATAAATAACAGCAAAAAAACAAATTGAGGAAAATAATAGCAACCCATGTGACAAAAGGATGACTTTTTTTTTTTAATAAACAAGGAGATTTCAAAAATAAATCCAAAAGGAAAATGGGAAAAAGATATGAACAATCAGTTGATAGAAAATGAGATTAAAGTCAACAATTATACGTGAAAAATTTTTCAAATACTCATAAAGAAATGAAAATCAAAACAACAAATGTAGTGAGTTGATTGGATATGCCTCCAACAAGTATTCTGTATAAACATATACATCTAGTCTATCACAGATCTTTAAGGGTATCTTTTTCTCCTTTCCTAGATCTCCCACTTGGATTTCCAGACAGTTTCTCACCTGTTTTCATGCAGTATTGGAGCAGCAGTTTCTTCAACAGCGCAAACCATGGGAACGCGAAGATAGAATCTGCCCGTCACTCCCCTGACAGTGCTGAGCAACACTGTAATAAGTACTAAAATGGCGACGTCGAACAAGTGTCCTTGGGCCGTGTCTCTGCCTGGGGAGGCGATGTTAGGGCTGAAGGAGACAGAAGAAAAAGTGAGAGTTCCGTGGCAGAAGAGGAGGGACAGGGCTTTCCTCCAGAAGCCGGAATACTACGTGCGAAAACAAAGGGGTGTGCGAAGGCAGGGTGCCCGTGTTTATCTACAAATTGGGGGTGGGGGAGGCGCCGGGCTTGGGCGATGAGGGACTTTTCTTGCACAGATTCCTTTCCTGCCCAGGGACTGCTTTCGCCCGACAAGGAGCCTAACAATATTATTGCCACACAGGCAAGTTCACAGCGGAAAAAGACCTTCGAGTCGTCAATCTAACTTACACTTTTTTATAGAAAAATATACAGAGGACTTAGAAAAGTGAAATGACCTGTCTCAAGTCACAGCTTTGGCCAATACTGGGGCCCCGCCGGCTGGCTCAAAGATTTTCCTGCCTTGGACCCACCAGAACTGCCCAGGCAGTCAACCCACAAGTCCGCTCTCTGGACCGCGGTCCTGTTCGTCTAAGGGTGGACTACACTTCCCACAATGCCTTCAGCCTAGCCTCCCTCCCGCCGCCTGGCTGAGGGCTGTACCCACCAATAGAAAAGCAAGATTTCCAGGGGCAGTTCTCGGCCACCAATGAGCGCGGCGGTGGGCGGATCTCTCCCGTCCATTGTTCTCGGTGCCCCACCGGCTGGAGCGCTGGTGAATCCCGAGGGGCCGGGTCGTGCCCCGGGGCGCTTTTAGTCGCGTAGCAGCCGCCGGAGCAGGATCTGGTCTTCGGAGAGGTGAGCCCAGAGGGACAGGCGTGGAGCCGCGCGGGCCCAGGGGAGCAGCCCGAGGCAAGGGAATAACGGGCCTGGAGCCAGCTGTGGGCAGCCGTGCTGGGGGAGGGGCGTCGGGGGCGCCGTCCGCGTCCCGTGGGCCGCAATCACCCCGATGTACGCGCCAGGCTCGGCTCAGCGACCCGACCCGGACTCTTCTCCCTGGCAGAGAGCTCCTTGCAAATCCAACGCGGAGGCACAAGGTTGGAATTGAAAGGGGCATTCGACGACATCCCGCGCTGCCTGCTTATTTTACATACAGGGAAACTGAGGTTCAGAGGGGGCGTGACTTGCCTCGGGTCAGACAGAGAATTAGTAGCTGACTATGAACAGTTTTCCCGAGCTCTCGAATAAGAGTTCTGTTATACCTGTGTTTCTTGTAGTCATGTGGGGAAATACACGTTGAGAGCTTCGGTTTTCCCTTTCTTTTTTCTTTTTCTTTCTTCCTTTTCTCCCCACCCCGCTTTTTCCTTTTTTTTTTTTTTTTGGTGGTGGTTCTTTATGATGTTGTGATGAATTTTAAAATAATTTCTCATTGCCTTTATGATGTTTATTTTAAATCATTTGTAATTCCACCACTTGTAACATTTTGTAGAGCCCAGATTTTTTTTCCTCGTGTTTCATTTTTAAAATGAATTGAGGTCATACCGTGTCTATGGTTTTTCTGACTTGCTGTTTTTGTTTTTATCTGTTAGCTTCATATTATGAGGATTATCTTAAGTCATTAATGACTTATAATCTTTCTCAGTATAATTTTTAAAAGATATTTTTAAATACATACAGTAGAATGCACAAATCTTAAATTTCTTATATATGCTCCTGTGCAACCATTGCCAAATCAAGATATAGAATATTCCCAGGACCTCACAAGGTTCTTTTGATTCCCTTCTCAGTTAGTACCCCCTGAAGGTAGCCATTATTATTGCAGCATAGTTTTTAAATACATTGTACTGTATGGTTGTGCTGTAATTTCTTAACCATTCCCCTGCAATTAGAAATAATGCTATTGTCCTTGCAAATAAATTTCTGTTTGCAAAAATAGTTATTTTTAAGATAAAGTCCATAGGGACCAAGGCCGGATTGAGGAGTATGAACATTTTTAAAACTTCATACTTTAACATATGGTAATAATGCAGTTGAGATGTAGCCTTCCTTCCAGTGAGGCTTAAAGTGCCTTGACATCTGAAACGTTGCTAATCCTTAAGATGTCCCTGTAAGATAAGGATGGGTGTTATTATCTCCACTTAGTAGGTGGTCACAGAGGTTCAGTGTAAGTTGTCAAGGTCACTCACTCTGCAGCAAGTCTGAACTGACTTAGGACAGGATAACTCAGTCAGTCCTGTGTTCCTGCGAGGGCTTTGAATTTCTGTTACTCATTCTTGGATCTTTTTGGAAGAAGAATCCTGTACTTCTGTGTTGGTGGTGCTTTTCTTGCCATAGAGATGTTTTCAGGAATAAACCATTCCTCCTTTAAGAGGGATGAGAAACTTCTGATGGTTTGCCAATATAAGAATCACTTGGTGGCCTGAATGGGGCTAGTGTGAATTAGATCATTTTAGGACAGTCTGCTCACTGATTCTGGTTCTCTTTCTTGGTTCTCAGCAGGACTACTTGTTGAAATTTGAGGAGGGAGGTGTCTTCTCAGAGAGTGGCTGTGGAAGACTGAGGTTCAAGACTTGAAGCCCGAGTGATTGCCCCAAGAACTTAGATGATGGCTGCAGAGATGCCAAGAGTGACCACTCCCCTGAGCCCCTTGGTCCAGGTACCTCAAGAGGAAGACGAACAGGAGGAGGAGGTCACTACCATGATCCTGGAGGAAGACTCCTGGGTACAGGAAGCTGTACTGCAGGAGGATGGCCCTGAGTCCGAGCCCTTTTCCCAGAGTGCTGGCAAAGGCAGCCCCCAGGAGGAGGTGACCAGGGGGCCGCAGGGTGCGCTTGGCCGCCTTCGAGAGCTCTGTCAACGCTGGCTGAGGCCAGAGGTACACACCAAGGAGCAGATGCTGACTGTGCTGCCAAGGGAAATTCAGGCCTGGCTGCAAGAGCATCGGCCGGAAAGCAGTGAGGAGGCAGTGGCTCTGGTGGAAGACTTGACCCAGACCCTTCGAGGCAGTGGTGAGATGCAAAACCTCATAGGGAGAGGGTGGGAGCACCCCTCTGAGATGGAGGAGTATGGTGTTTGCAGAGAAAGTGGTATCCAGGACAGAACAGGGGACAGCCCCATCCCTGTCTCCTTGTTGTCAGCCTGGTAGAATGGCAGCTGTACTCTGGGGCGAGTCTGCAGGCAGTCAGCATGTTTGTCACCCTTTTAATACCCCTCTGCGTGCAGAGGCAGCTCCAGAATTTCAGTACAGGCGGGGCTTTGTGGAAGGCGGCTTAGAGAACTAGCCTTGGAGCTGCACTTGCATAATAAGCACAGTTTGTACTTATTATTATTTTTTGTGTTTACTTGGGGTAGCTTGGAAAGCTGACGGAAGTTATGGGAGGATGGGGTTGAAGACCCTATGAACCTCTCCTTGGCACCTTCACTTGCTTGTGCAATAAACATTCAAATATTAGAAGTTCCAGCAATTAGAAAAGCCACATCATTTGGTATTTTTAAAGTGGTTATTTTTATGAAACCAAGATAAATGACAAGTAAACCAGCTAATAACTAGGGACTTTTCTGTGATATAAAGTTATCCTGGGCTCTTAAAAGAGTAATTCCAAACTTGAGCTCTTTGTAACAGTTAATAAATTTGTCTCCTGTGTTACTAATTAGTTCTGGGATCCTGACATGTCACTTAACTGCTCTGTGTCTCCCTTTTGGTCTTCAGTTATAAACTGGACTCGCTTGATTACTAAGTATTGATTTCAGATCTACCTGTACCCCTAGCACCATTTCAGGACCCATGGGGAATGGCTGCCTTTGTGCTCATGAGGACTGCAGGCATTCAGAGAAAGGAGCACACAGAGGGGAGGGGAGCAGCCAATGGAGGCTTCATGGGAATGGGAAGCTGGAGAAGGAGGTTGCAGGATGGAGTAGAATTTAGAAAGGTGCAGGGCAGGGAGGAGGGTATGGCAGCCGAGAGGAGCTGTGCTAAGCAAAGGCTCCGAAGGGGGAACTAGCATAGCTTCTTTACTCAGGTGACAGTGATGAGGGTTGTCTGATAGGAATGGAAAGTGTGTTTTTAGAAAGTGGTAGGAAGGGAGCTTGGGGAAGGGGTGGAGGGAAGCTTGGACAGAATGTCATTGGCCTCAGCAGGTTCTTGAATTAGGGCCCAAGGGGCATGGGAGGAAGCTGAGTTTGATAACAGGATGTAGGTTTGATTAGAGTAGGGAGAGGCTGGAGGCAGGGGAGCAGCCAGGAAGCCACCCAATCATCCGGGCATGCAGTGATGGGGTCCGGCCGAGATGAGGGATAGCAGGGGAAGAGGAGGAGATTGGACATGTCTGAGAAAGGACTAATAGTAACAATAGCTAGTGCTTAGCAAGCTCTTTCTGTAGGCCAGGCAGTGTGCTTAGTATCTAATATGCAAAACTCACTCAGTAAACTTCACCACTTTGGGAGGGAAGCAGGATTATTATGACCAGAGAAGTTAAATGACTCCGTTAAGATCATGCAGCTAGTGCGAGGCAGAACAGAACCAGATTTGAACTCGTGTGTCTGAGGACATGGCCCATGTTCTTAAGCATTTCATCACATGTATGATGGTAAGTGAGTTCCTAGTGGGGTGTTGGGAAGAGGGGACGCACATGAGGATTAAGACAAAGGTGACTGAGAGGCATTTAGGCTGGAGGATGTGGAAGACTAGGAAGAGAAGGGAACAGAAGGAAAAGGAAGATGGCTTGAGGGCAGAGATTGTGATGACCCCCAGGGACTGGGAGATATGAGGAAAGCTGTGCTCTGCAAAAGGGACTGACAGTGACGGCCTCTTGTGAGCCCAGCCCTGTGCTGGGCATCTTACATGCCCATCTTTCTAACAGTCTTGGGAGGCAGGTGGAGTTGTCATTTTCAGATGAGGAAATGGAAGTTCAGGAAGGTTGAGCCCTTTTTTCAAGGTCACACAGCTGGTAAGTGGTGGAACCAAGATTCAAACTCAGGTCTGTTTGCCTCCACACATGTTTGGTAGATCCTAGGTTTTATTTGAAGCAGAGTACCTGATTTTCTTTGTCCTTGAACTTTTCCTTTTATTCTTCCTATTAAACAACAACAACAAAAAAGCTCTCATCCTATTTCAAAACTTGGTTTTCTTGCCTCTTGATAGATATGACAAGTTTGTAATGGACTCCAGGAGCTGTGGTCAGATACTACAGAGAGGCCAGAAGGGTAGAGGCCTGAGAGAAGGCCTGTGGAGTTGTCATTTAGCTGTAGAGATTACCAAATTGGAGGGTCAGGTCTTAGCAGGTGTCTCTAAGGTAATGACAGGTACCTACTGCAATAGCCCTCCTCACCTGGCTTGCTGCAGGAGCTTTGTGGTTTTCATCTTTTTTAAAAAAAAAAATTTATTTTTTGTTGTTGTTTTTGTTGAAAATGTGCACAGCAAAATATACACCAATTCAACAATTTCTACATGTATAATTCAGTGACATTGATTACATTCTTCTAGTTGTGCAGCCATTCTCACTCACCTTTACTGAATTATTCCTCTACCATTAACATGAATTCACTGCCCTCTAGTTTCTTCTCTAACCATTCGAGTTGCTGTTGTCAATTTGATCACATATAGATAGTTCTTTTAAAAAGCGCAGTGCTCAAGGTAGACTTTCTTAACTAATAAAGCTAAACTATTGTTTGGTTTAAAGAAGACTTCAGGGGATATTTTTGGTTTAAAGTTTAAGGATTATCTCAGGGCAATAGTTTCAGGGGTTCATCCAGCCTTAATGGCTCCATAAAGTCTGGATTCCATGAGAATTTGAAATTCTGTTCTGAATTTTCCCCCTTTTGATCAGCATTCTATAGAATCTTTGATCAAAACATTAAGTAATGGTAGTTGTGGCTTTCATCTTTCACTGGACATCTGAGATAGGGTGATCCCAGATGAGTGGGTTTGTCAGTCCTCTGACTTCTGTGTTGGTCTTTATGTTTGTTTAACAAATGCCCCTGACCTTCCTCCTGATGCTCACAGTAACCCTTTCTGACATTTCTCAACAAAAGACCCCTTGACCTCTATTCTGTTTGTCCAGCTTGGGACGTTTGGACACATTAACCCATCATAGGACTTTTCAAGGCCAGGTTAGACTGTGGTTGTTTAATGTTTGACTAACAGGCACTTCTAGGCATTTAAAGTATTATTCCCTTTAATGAACTGTGTAAAAACTAGCTATTGGCTCCACTCCCTATAACTTAGCCCTTTGGCCTCCTGACTGAATACTTACCTGAAACTTAATTAGATTCTTAATAAACATTTGTGGGATGAACGTTCGATGTATTAAAATTTTGACCGTAGGCTTTTTGAACAAGTGTTTTGTTTCTTTTTTGCCAAAAAAAATAAAAAGTAAACCATTATTCCAATTAAGATCAGACCTATATTAACAGTTCAAGTGGTAAAGCTCATTTCTATTTGCGAATCTTTCCCAAGGATGTTTTAATCCCCATAAAGCCAAACCAGTTGCCGTTGAGTAAATTCCGACTCATAGTGACCCTATAGGACAGAGTAGAACTGCCCCATAGGGTTTCCAAGGAGCGACTGGTGGATTTGAACTGCCGAACTTTTGGTTAGCAGGCAAGCTCTTGACCACTGTGCCACCAGGGCTCCTTAATCCCCATACTCAGCCCTAATTCAGGCTTTTCTCACCTGAACTCTTGCAGCAGCCTCTACTTCAGCCTCTTCTCCACTGCAGCTCTTCCAGTCCTACCAGAGTGATTGGGGCACTCTCCTGCTTAAAAATCTTATGAGTTCCGTGGTGTCTTCCAACTCAAGCATGACCTCCTTGCTCTGTTTGGAGTCCCTGGCCCTATGTGATCTGGCCCAGACCTTCCCTGCAGCCTGGCCCCTCCCCTGACCTCCTGGCTGCCGCCCCTGCTCCAGTCAGACCAGACAGTACTGTTCCTGAAACATAGTTTGTGCCTTCCAGCATTCATCTTTTGCTTCTGAATTTTTTGGCTTGAAATGGCCTTGTCCCATCTCTGTGTGATAAAACCTTAGTTGTCCTTTGTGATGCATACGCTTGGATACCCTGTCATAAAGCCATCCTTAATTCCAGTCCCTCTTTCCTGTCCTCCACTCTGTCTACCTGGGAGCATCTCCTCACCTCTGCTAGAAGTCATCTCCCCTGAAACATTTGGACTCTCCTTCTTATTTGGCTTTTTATCATGTTCCATCTTGTTTTCCTAATTATATGGACACTTGTCTTATTTTTCTTAGGAAAATAAAAGGAAACAGAAGGCAAGGACCTTGTCTTTGATTTTTTTTCCTTAACTCTCATAGTACCCAGGACAATGTCCTACACATAGTGGGAACTCAGTAAGCATTGTTGGAATGAATATGTGAATCAGTCAGCCACCTACCCACCTGCCTGTACGTGTGGAGAGGCTCATTACTCAGTTCATGAAGGAGGCAGACAGACTGCTGCCTTGTTCCAGGTTCACTGGCAGAAATGACTGACATTTGCCTTTCCTTGAGAAGGCCAGGTCAAGGCTGGCTTTTTAAAACAAAATAGGGTCAAGCTGGGGATACTTCTGAATCTGGAAAAGGAGTGGGTGTAAGACTACAACTGAGACCCAGGAAAATACGAAGGCCAGTAGGCAAGTCAGGCAGCTTAGTCAGCAATAGAGCACTTAATATTAGCCTTAATATGACACAGGTTCCGTTCTCAGAAGATTATACTTAGCAAACCTGGTTGTTGATGTTAGCTGCTGTCGAGTCGACGCTGACTCATGGCAATCCCATGTGTGCCGAGTAGAACTGCTCCATAGGGTTTTCAAGGCTGTGACCTTTTGGAAACAGATCACCAGGCCTGTCTTCTGAGGTTCCTCTGGGTGAGTTCAAATCGCCAACCTTTTAGCTAGTAGCCGAGCGCTTGACCATTTGTACCACCCAGGGACTACCACAGACTCGGTGAATACTGTCATGTTTATGCTGTTGATAAAGAGATTTTTTAAAATAGAGAACATAGCCAGGATTTAAAAACCA